AGGTTATGAAAAGGACTTGTGACAGAGAACAGCCCTACTGGGATCCAAAATTAACTTTTAATAGATCCAGCTTAATGCCTGAAATGCAAACCACACTCCAACTCCACTCCCACTTAGTCTGGATGGTCCCTGATAATGGGCCCCCTGACTCAATTCTCCCAGAACACCCTTCACAGAGCACCACGATGGACATAGTGGAATTGCCATGGAGGAGTTTTTTGACCACCCTGATGGTGACTGGGTAATTAACACGTCCAACACTGAACAGTCAGTCTCTGCTTCCACCAGGAGGAACGTGACATCTGTGTTGAGGAGATCCTGAAAGTATTACTTCTATCATCCAGTAATGTCCTCAGTCAAGGTCAGCAGCTGCCCACCCTGCAGATAACAGTGTTAGGGAAGCACTGAGGGGGGCCGGACTGCTTGTGGGCCAGCTGATGGCCTCTCTCCTTGGCTTCACCAAACTCCTCCCAGGCCTGAGTGTTGCCTCTACATCTGCTCGAGCAGCAGCGCTTGGCTTCACCGTTCCTGTTTGCTGCCTTAGGAGGAAGTTCGATAGCACTGCTTTAGTTTGACTGCCTCTCTTACTGCCATTGTTCACCACCGGATTCAGGGCTTGCTGCCACAAAAGGCAAAGCAGACCTTACATTATGGTGGCTGCATCAACAACCGAGATAGACTCCATGTCCCCAGCCTTCCACTGGAATCTGAGAAAAGCTCTCCTAGAGGTGGGAGTTAAATACATCCCTGAAAGAGGGTTATGCCAGATGTCCCAGCAGACCTTCCCCACACACATCGGCCTGCTGCGCCTGTTCGGCCTCTTTTGTTTCTTTTTTCTCTTTATATTTTTTATGATATTTCTACGAAGAAATTAAGGGATATGAGTGCCTCTTTCTTTAATTTCTTAATTCTTACTCCAAATTTTTTACTTTTTTGTTTGTTTGTCTATTTGGGACCATTTAAGCTACCCCCTTAGTTAGTTGTTTTATCTGACTTTTACCTTTTTCCTGTGGGTTGTTTTGCCAATTTATTACCCTTTCTAGTTATCTGTGTATTCTTAAATAGACAAACCTGGTGGTAATATGTCTATGTAAAGAATTTTTTTCTTTAGAGACGTATGAGGCTCTAAAATGCGTCATTGTTTATTCAAATATATTTTCAGAAAATAGAAACTAAAATGAGCTGACTAAACAATAAACTAACATTTTGTTTAAAAATAAAATTTGATAAAATAAATTTCCCTGATCTTTTGATGATCTGACCAAGACATAAATTTGCCCTTCTGAGTTTGAAGCATATATTTCAACAATGTGTCCCTGCCTGGATCCAGTCCCTGAGTCCTTCATGGAATGTCTCCTAACCCGCTAAACCATCAAGACAAAACCATTTCGCTGTCAGTCTGGGGGATATATGGCAGGAAAGATGAGAAGCTCAGGCAGAAAAACCAGGGTGTACCTCGATGTTAGACACAGCTCAGTCCAGAGGTGTTTTTTTTTTCCACTGCTAAGAAATTTCTGTTTTTTACTCGGCCCCTATTTTTCAATTATGTATCTTAGTGATGTTGACAGATTGATTCATGTCGAATCCCTCCAATGCTCACTGATTTTAGTGGCAGAGCCTCTCAGCTCACTAGTGGCTCATAGAACCCTTTGTACTCTGTATAGAAACTGTCCCTTCTCCTGCCAATTGAGCATTTCTGAGCGGCATTGTGCATGAATCAACTTTGTGTATACATATATGTGTGTGTCCACCTGTTCTGTCCATCAAGCGGCGGACAGCTGCGGAGTCTGTTTGGCGTCAGTCTACCAGCAAGCGACATCCATCACGGACGCTACCCAACTGGTCCACAAATGAACACATGCATTCACGTCTATCACCAGCTGTGCCCGGTGTCCGCTGTAAATAATATACGCAGTTTGCACAATCCTCCCACAGCCACACTTATCTCATTCTTCCATTACTTCTTTGTGTTACTTTGGATATAGGGGCACTTTGTCACTATGTCTGTTTAAATAGCAGAGCAGCTAATTAGTTTGGATTTATATTTCAAGCTCTGTAACTTTGACCGACTGTCTAGACATTATGCGCTGACACATCCTGGTTGGATAAAGTTAAAGAAGTGTGGTTGAAAGGAGTAATATCCAATCCTAGCAAAGCAGAGCCAGTATCCGGAGACAAGGTGTCAGGGCGTTTACAGCCTGTTGTGGATGCACCTGATTTACTAGAGTATAAATAAAATGTGGTTCTTGAAATGGCAAGCACCTCAGCAGCTGTTGATTACTAACTCTCTCCCTCTTTAACCCCTTTTAACCTGAAGGTGGGTCTATTACTGTCAATAAAAAATGTCTTTTTTATGATGTTTTTTTTTTTCAGCTTCCCTTCCTAGTTTTTAGGAGAGGAAATATCTGACCATAAAGTATTGCTCTAGTTACAGTCACCTCACAAGAGCTCACAATGCTTTCTTATTTTGCTTAAAAGTGAGGTTCCAAGATGTCTAAGGGTTTTCATTGATTACAAATTATACCTTTTGTTACCAGGTCTTTTCAGGATTGATGCCTTCTAACATTTTTAGCTTTTAAAAAAAAACTTTTTACATGGTTCTGTTGCCACATCATTTTAGGGGGATTAAGGTCTGTACTTTGTCATTCTGTTGTCGATTCGATGCAGCATCCATTTCAGTTTTAATTTGGTCATCAGAACATATTTAAAAATATGTCTCAATAGAGTACAATGCATGCCACCGACCAAAAAGGTTTAGACAGAAGTAAACCTTATTAAAGGCTATCCCTTTTCCATTTCTTGTGTCAGAATTAATTTCCATATACTTGCTTATTGCAAGCAAAGAAAAAAAAAGAAGAAAAAAGTCAAACTTTCAAAATGCTTTGAGTGTAGAGATGAGAAAAAAAAATAAAAAAGCAATAGTTGTTTTCTTAGTTTGTTTTCCCTGATGACCTTAATGTTTTTTTTTTCTATATTTTCATAAGGTAAAGGGTTATTTTTGTCTTTTATTGTAGATCTGATCCTTTATTGTGGGATCACCACAAGAATTTCAAGTTAACGGAAGTATTTATTTATTCGTCTATTTTTCTTATATTAGTACTTTAAGCATTCATTATTACATATTAAACAGTTTTACAAATAATCATATCAATAACTTTATATGTGTATATAATTTGGGATTTATACAAGTTTTTGAATCTTTTGATAGAGGTACAGCCATTTAATTCATATTCCAGGCCGTTCCGTAAATTTACTCCTAACTGAAATACATATACTTCTTTTAGTTGTTTTTATCGTACTTTTCTGAAATATGCTTGTTCCTCTTAAAGATATTGTCTATGTCTTGGCGTGAACATCTTCTGGATACCCTGTGCAAGCATGCAATTGGGTACCTTATACATGTATTTGCGTATTTGTTGAAGATAATGATCAAAAATAATCAGCTTTATTGATAATTCTATCTGCTTTCTTTTGAAGTAAGATTATTATTCCCCCATATTTCCACACAATAGCTGAGGTGTGAAAGAACAAGAGAACATTAGAGTATGTAAAGTGAATTGTGGTTTAAAACTGTTTTCATCTTAAACATTATAGCAAGTGTTTTGAGTATTTTTGTCCTTAAGATGTTGATGTTTGATTTCCAACTTAATTTTCTATCAATAATAATACCTAAGAATTTGGTTCCACATAGGCCTGCTCTTTCTATTTCTGTATCATTCATTCACATTTTGGAATGTTCCTTGATTTTCTGATTTCCAAAAATTATATAATTTTTTTATTTAGAATAAGTTACAATTTGTCAATGTCAATCCATTGTTTTACTGCTTTTAATTTTTCCTCCACTGTATGCAGGAGTTGATCCAAATCTTTACCTGAGCAGTAAAAACTTGTATCATCAGCAAACAATACACAATTTTAACTTTTTATTACTTCAAAGACATCATTTGTATACAGTACGAACAAATTTGGTCCTAATATGGAGCCCTGCAGAAAATTACTTTTGGTCAGAATCAACATTGTTCACATGGGGAAAATGCTCTGCTGCCTTAAAACTCAAAGTTATTATGGTATTAAATGTTCTGTGCCTGAAAAAGACCCAATTTTGTCAGCTCTGCAGTGACTTGTTTGACCGTGGATTTGATTTTGATTCCAGGGCTGAACCAATCCTCTCACGCTAACTTAAAAATAAAGGTTTTCTTCAGAAAAAGCAGAATTTTATTATATTATAATTTTCAGCATGAATCCCATAATTTGCAAGTGTTGGAAACTTAAAAATCCAATTTTTTTTCCAGTCGGAGAACACAACATACCTAAGCTTTTACAGATGATGATAACAGCAACATTCTGCAGAGTAAAGGCTGTCTTTGCATAAAAAACACTCAGGTTTGTTTACTTAGTCTCAACAAGGCATTTAAATAAATCATAAATTTAAATAAATATTAGAGGAAACAGCTTAAAAGGAATCAGTATTTATATTATCCAATCATATTTCCTAGATTACAGGAGGACTATGAGATAAAAGATGTTCAGTTTCATTATATTGTTTTTTTGCCATATAGTTTATTGTCCCAAGAGGGAAATGTTGCTCATTGTGAAGAAGGAGCACTAGCCATTTAAGTTAACTTTTTAACTAATAAATCAAAAAACAACTAAAAGGCACAATCTCCATCTTCATTTGAAGATGTAAGCCACCCTTTTAGAAACCTTCTGATACGTACACATTTTTCTTCTAAGTTTTTATTGTTGTTGTAATTGAAATGGACTTGATTTAATGGTCAGTGGAAACAGCTAATGCTGCTCACCTTTTGACCAGATCCAACTCAAAGTCAGATTCTCAATTGGTTTTCTTCTTGAAAAGTGACATTTATGTAAATAGAAATAATTAAGCTTTTTTTTTTAATAAAAACCTTTTTGTGATCCTTTGTTGCAAAATCTTGAATATAAATCTGATTAATTAAACCCCCCAACTATAATTTTTGTCTTACATTGTTTCTATCCAGATTTCTGTCCCTTGTGGGTGGGAGTGTGGACCAAATAGGCAGTGCAGGGTTAAAACAATTTGTGGAGAACAAGGTTACCACAAGTTGTATCGAGGAGCTCGCCAAGAAAGTGGATGCCACCCCGGAAACCCTCAAACTCATCATAGATGGCCTGACGCAGCCCCCAGGATTCGATATACGACAAAGTAAGACTTTCATTGCCTAAAATAACCAGACTCATTTAGTTTATTTAGGAAGATGGTAAGGGTGTGGAAATTCAACCAATATGTTCAAGATTTTGACCATAAGCATAAAAGAGTAGAAATTTTTAGGAATATGCTTTAGATTTTTAACAATTTTTTTATCCCATTGCTTATTTGAATGCATTTGTAATTGTTACAAAGTAAGCTGTACTTTCTTCAAACAATTTTTCCCCTTACTGTTTAAAATCTTGTGCAAAATCCTCAACTCTGGCCAACAGTATCTGTTGGATCATACAGAGGATGATTGTCACTTTTCTGCAATCTAGCAGTCAGAGTAGCTTCTCGTTTTCTCTCATCTTTCTGTCATAATGTCTTTTACAGCTCCCCACCAGCTAACAGAAAATCAAGGCTGTATTTGTCCCCCTTTGTGAATGTTTTGCTAGTTATAACGCACACTGACTGAATTTTCTAGCCTGGACTATAATAGCCATGTCTTGGCAGAGTAACTTGATAGGACCTGACAGTGTTGCGGCTTCCTCTCTGCAACCCAACAGTCCGGTCTGTGTCTTCCTGACAGCAAGTGATGGGTCCAGCAGACTTTGCTGCTTGACGCAGCAGCCAGAAAGCCCAAATGCTGCAAAATATGTTTTTCTGCTTATTCTCAGGCACATATGAACAGAACCTTAAATATAGTTCTGTTGCTACTCAGTAAAGAAAAAAAAAAGATTTATTGTGCGCTTAATTTCTGTGAGATAAAATTAATATAAGCTATTTAAGAGACATTCATTATGAAATGGATGAAATATCAACTTTGATGTTGCATTTCAACTTCAGAAAGCTGATATGATTATTAAATGTAAATAAAAAGGAAAACTATTTCTTAAAGGAGTTTATTTCATGTGACGTTTAAGTAAAAGTTCAAATAAGAAATGTATTTTGTAAGTTTCACCCTTGAATTTGGGCTCTAAGACATTTTTCCATCCATTTTTTTCTATTGCTGTTTCATGTAACTTAAAGTCCAGCCTGTGCAGCCACTTAGCATCGACAAACTCTTCCTAAAATTAAAGAAACGCAACTCCAAGGTTCACTCTGGGGTTGGCCCTATTCGGTTGCAGTACACTTTGCTTGGCCTCCTAGTCAGCGCTCAGCTGAATAAACAGATGGGCTGAAGCTACCACATAAAATCAGGGGTTTTAAGGGAGAATAATGGCACTGGCTATTTCCTGGATAGCAAGCCTTCCTTGTTTATGTTAATGATACTGAAATAAAAGCAGGCCGAGTGGAAAGTATGGATGGACAGGACGTTTAGAAATGTTGAAGTGTTGTATGTAGACCCAAGTGTCGAATTACTCCTTGTATTGTGTGGTTTCTTTGTCATTCATTTCCATCCTGTTACTTTTCTGCATTCCCTGGTTCTTGCCACACACAGTCTGACTACATTTATTTGGCCTTATTTCCTACAAGTCTGTCAGCTTTGATCTATGATAGCTTTTACGTCTTTCTTTGGCAGATTTTGGGCAGGCGGACTTTAAGCGGGGAATTGTGTCGATGAGTGATCTGCGTGTCGGAGCAGTGCTCACTGGGCGAGTAGACAACACCACTCTGTTTGGAGCCTTCGTGGACATCGGTGTTGGTCGTGATGGTCTTATTCATAAGAGCAACATTACCCTGGACAAGCTGCCCGTCAGCCAGCGGCGTCGCAGTTTGGCTCTGGGCCCCGGAGAGCGGGTTGAGGTCCGAGTCCTGAATATAGACGTCCAGAGGGGACGGATTGGGCTTGACCTGATTAGGGTCCTCCAGTAGATACAGAGGTTCCTTTAAAGAATATTCCACAATTTGGACTGTGCCCTGTCTCTTCTTATTAGACACCAAGCAATCTGAGAGGGAAAATACCTCCAGATGTTTAAAGAAATGTTGGCTACGAACTGATTTACTGGATAGGAAAAAAAGCAAGTTAATTTGTTTTAACAGGAGATTTGCCTTATTTATGGAAACAGTTAGTTGTTTTACTATTGTGATGCATTTCAGTGTCAGCTGCGAGATCCTACAGATCAAACAAAGTTCATATTTAAGGACTTTAAACATTTTCAATGTTTTTTTTTCATATATGTTCTAAAAACTGGGAATAAAGTTTATCATAAACACTTTAGCTGTGATGCTAATAACTTACTACTTGAACTAATGTGGCTTAAGTTTGCCATATAGGAGAATTTTTGTGTACTTGGGTGATTGGGGATCACTATGTACATTTCGAAAAAAGTTATTTATTTCTGTCATTCATGTCGGAAATAAGACAATAAATGTTTTTGTTGACTTTATGTTCGTTTCTGATCATCTTTGACCTGCAATACTAGAAAATTCAATAACATATCAGTGGTGAGATGTTGAAATGTAAAGTTTAAAGTGTCAGATGTTTACCTGCACTCATCATAGCTGTTGATTAAATATTAATAGGGCTTTTCCTGATGCATTTGAACTAAACAAATCTACAATGAGCTTAAAGAAAATAATGGGATGCTCAAAATTATAATAGACCAAAAACTGCTATTAACTATCAATTATAAAACAGTTATTGACACGCTTCTGCTATAAGTCTACCTAAATATTCAACCACTTTACTTGGTAGATGTTTTTTTTTTTTTTTTTTCTAGTATTAACCAAGCTTCCACACTTCACACATTTTTAACATGATTCAGGTCCTTCAATTATAATTGATAATTGAACATCATTAATCTCAAAATGGAGAAATTCACTTCTGCACCTTAACCCATCCCTTTGGGGAGCAATGGGCTTTCACTGTGCGGCTCCTTGGGAGCAATCAGGGGTTAAGGGTCTTGTTTAGGGACCCAGACTTTATGCTGCCCCCTCCATGCTTGACAGTAGGTACAGAGTTTTTCATTTTAAAGTCTGCTTAACCACTATAAAAATGTTTTTCTTTCTGCTCACCCACACCCTCAGTCCACACCAATGTTGAACTTTTTTCACCTTGAACAGCAACTCTGGTATTCTATCATCTTCCTGTTTATGATAGGCTTTTGCCTTGATGGCTCTTTTGGTTTTCCAGAATATTATTGCCAACTTTCTTTCATCTAGGGGTAACAGTTTGGGTAAAATGATGGAAACTTGGCTTAAATTGGGTATTTCAACAGGAATATTTTCCCATAACTGCATTTGGAATGGAAAAGCCAGGTTTCTAACAGAGTTATGACCACAACCCTGTTTAAAATCAAGGCTGTCCCAGGCTACCAGTTTTAACTAAGTCTAATAATTCTTCTAAGAAGAGCGGCTAAATATTCATCCAAAACTAAACCAGAAGTTTGTTGATGGCGAAAATAATTAGTAATTAACTTTCAACCTGCTGAGGGACACTTCCAAAAATGTGTAAGAGTTGTTTTACAAGTTATATTTAATGTTAAGCTTTTACGAATTATATAAATAAAAAATATGTTTGAAACCATGTTATTTTTCTGAAGTTAGTTGCTCTTATGGAGGATGTTCCAGCTTTACAAAGAGCTGTGCAGATAAATGAACCGAAATGAATGAATGTGAGTGTTACTACCACGGGTGTTGATAAATATGTGAATTATGCCCTCTAAATCACACAGAATAGAAAAGGAGCAAATATTTGTGTAATTCAGCAAAAACAAATGCTTTTAGTCCAGCTTTTGATTACAGAAAACAGAGAAATATGTGGAGATAAAATGGGTGGGGGCATGTGGTTTTGATTGGGTGGGCGGAGACATCCAGCGTGGAAAACGATACTGTTTGTCTCTCTGACTTTAGCGAAGCCTGGAGGCTTTTTAGGCAACATCCCAGACACAATTATCCTGTGATACACAAACGCCCTAATCAGCTGCTTCAAAATTAATCCCAGACTCCCCATCCACATGATCTAATTTCTTTGTTTTTATGAAACCGGAATAAAAAAAGACAGAAAATATGATTCTGCGAAAGCCTTAGGTCTTCTTTGCTAAACATTACTCCAAATGCGGAGTACCTCATTGTTTATGCTCATCTTCCTTTGGGCAAACAAATGGAATACATTTGAGATGCACAAACAAAAACAAATATTTCATTGCTATTATATTTTAGCATTTTCAGTTAAATTCAAAGAAACCTATATGTCATTTTTTTTTCATAATTTTTAGACTTTTGGGTCAAATTAAGGATTTTTTTTTTTTTTTGATGGCGCATCTCTGTGACTTTCTCTTCTCTGTTTTTTATGTTGGTTTCTTTTCACGGCAGACATTGTCATTCAACAGCATCCAGTGTTCTTGTTTTGGGGAACCATGTGTGTTTGTCCAAGTGGACACAGCTTCCCCTCAGCACCATTCCTGCTTCCTCCCTCTACCAAACGTGAGCCCACAGATGGGACAGGCAATCTGGTAGCCAGCTACTGCTGCCCCTTGGCGTTTTTGTCAAACACTTTCCAGTAATGAGACAGAGATACGAAAAAAAGCAGACTAACTGCAGGAGGAGTTTGTTATCTCTCTGTTATCTGCTGCTGCCTTTGGCTCACAGCTGTTACAGAATGAGATCAAGGTGTGCGCTGAAGTTTCTGAAAAAATTATTATATATATATATATTTATATATAGATACTATAACATTGAAAGTAAGCTCTACATGTAGCATGCTGACAATTGTGATTCTTCTGTTAATAAAACTAAGACTAAGCCAGAAAAACATCTGAAGCTCCAAATAAGGTTTCAACAGTGATGAAAAAAGAGTCATCGTACATTTTTGCAGCAAGATAAGACTACCAACAACTCGGGACTGCATCCCGCCCAGCAAGCAGTCGATGGAGAAAATAGCTTATGTTCCTGCTTTTGTCTGTCCTGTTCTTAATTCAGTAAAAAAAAATCTAGCAAAAAAACAAACAAGAATTTAAAATTGTTTTTTTTTAAAACCTTGTTAAAAAGGGATTACAATTAAGAAATTGGTTAAATGACATGATGACAAGTGAGAGGTATTCTGCTTTCAAAGAATACAGCAAATGACAGATTTAAAACAAGGACAAATCTTTGTTTTTACCAAACTGTCTCTGTTTTTTGTTTTTTGACAGATCTGAAATCCTGAACTAAAGCTCAGAGCTGAGGTTTAGACAGGGAAGCATTTTGTCTCTTCTTTTTAATGTTAATATGGATGACTTATCAAAGCAGCAACAACAGGATGAGTTACTGATGCAACCATAAATAACCACATGATCTATGCAGTTCATATTTATGTTTATTCCACATCTTCAACTGTTTTTAAGGGATATGCTCACGTTATGGCCACATATTTTGCTTGATCTACAATACACAGAGGAGTAACATCATGGCAATTAGTAGGAAAGTGTAAAAACTGGTATTTCCTGATTTTTATTTTTTATCTGATGCTGTTTTTATTTAACAGTGTTTGCCCCTGTTAAATACCTGGGACACGATATACCTGATGATCTAGCTGACATGTAGCCAGACAATGTTGTTTAATGTATACATAAGCTAATGCTTGTTCAAACAGTATGTTTTCTGTCTCAGTTAAGGTGACACCTTTTAAAACATACTAAACCATGTTGTGTACTGCCTACAGGGTAAACATCTTTAAAAACTGTGAGCATTTTAATTCAATGTTAGAAACTGTCACATAAAGAAAAAAAATCTTGGAAATTAAAGATAATTTGCAGTAAGGAGAGTCCATACATAACATCAGAATAACCACTATCAGTATAACCTTATCGACTGATTCTTTTGGCCATGGGTGTGGCCAGACAACACCTTGTGCGTCGCTGTTGGAATTCATCTGATCTATTCAATAAAATGAAACAATAGATTAAATAAGAGGTAAAACACTCTTACTTGATGTCAATTTGCGGCTTGAGTAACCGAACATCAGTGCTTCATTCTTACAAAGAGATTCGATGTCCGTTATAGGTAAAGGTTTTGTCAACGTTTGACGGAATTAGAGGGAGTAGTTTGGGAATTAATTCTGGTTCCCCTCTGCAAGCAAATGAACTCTACAATGTGTTTGTTCGCAGAGAGCTGATCTTCAAAGAGGGTGCAAAGTGATTTATGTTGTAATTCAGCAGACACTGTGCACAAACGTTTTTTTGAATGTTTATCTTCATGAGTACAGACCAAACTAGTTGAAGGATATGCAAATGCAAACAGTTACAGTATCATGTGCAGAGAGATTTTCCACATTAGAATTTCAGCTGCTGTCACTGTTTCTGCATCTTATTTTAGTACTTTAGAGCGTCAGGTGCAAACTGACATGCAAAATTATCTGCAGTCATTGTTCCCACAAAAGATGGATTTGAACCATGATAGACAACAGAGATTCTGTGTTAATGTAAATATATTTAGACCACGTAATATTAATAAAAAAAAAGAACACACTGGTAGAGTTTTGCAGTGGGATGGCACATTGTCTTGATACAGATAAACCAATTGACAAAGAATTGCGGAACCTAAAAATTATGTTCATGTATGTTTATAAAAAAAAATAAAATATCAAAAAAGCCTGCAAAGAAACACGTACAGGTGAGCAGCTCTTCTCATCGCAGCAGGGGTTTTTTCTCTGTCAATTTATACAGAAAACAACATATTTTATTTTACTTTTGTTCAAAGCACTTTGAGTTAGACTTCATTTGGCCCTATAAACATTATTTTGCATTATTTAAAGAAAAAAGCTCTGGCTCTGCTCTTAAAATGAGTGGAAGGAAGTTAGTTTGCATGTTTTAACATCAGCACAGTAATCTTTGTAGATCACCCAGAACACCCCCTCATTATTCGTAATGCAAAATTTCACACCTTTTATTTGGAATCTTTATAGATCAAACCCTAAGTGGCATACAGTATGATGGCTAATTCTATAAATGATACCATGCTATTCCTGACCCTGAACAAAGGGTTTTAAATCAGGGTCTTATATTTATGTCCACTCATTCAGAGGATAGTTAATTGTGGCATAACATAAAATTTCCAAATCTTCCTACATAGTGTGTTTACATTAAGATGGGTTAAATGTGCCTGTTGGTTTTAGATGCCACAACCTAGAAACCAGTTGAGTGCACAGACTTTTTGGATGGCAAGGATGGAAAGTAAAATATGGGCACATATAATGTGCGGTCACCACTGTAGAGGGAATTTAAGCATAAATGTTTAAAAAATTTGGTCACAAGGAGTTGTGCCCGCCCCCCAAACACACACTTCGTACAATCCAGTGTATAAAACATACATTTTCCTTTAATATACAATTCAGTTTATGAGATGCATTGTGATGCATCTTTCACTGAGACTAAATAACTGCAAAAAAGCCTTA